AATGCAATAAACATTTACTTCAATTAGTCCAGTTACTAAATTTCACAGTCCCAATTATCTTACTAAATTAATATTTCTCACTGTATTAAAAAAAAATCAATTTAAATTATTGCAGAGAAAAGCACACAAGCGCACACACACACTGAGTGGAGTGTGATGATGACTGGGTTTCTTCCTTTTTGCCAAGAGGAATACAATGTTGGCAACTTCTTCCTCCCTCTAGGTTTTACTTGGGATTATTTTTCTGTTTACTGACACTTTATTAGACCTTATTCTTTCTTCACTGGTCTGCAAGTACATTACATCTGCATTTACAATATACAGTGCATTTTACATGTGTTGGGCAATGCCTTTTGCTCTCTTTTACTCATAACTCCGGTTTTGCCCAGCTCCAAATTGTGAGTATCTTTAATTTACCGTTGGTGAGTACTTGCATCCCTAGTGTTATCCCAAGCCCCCTCTTATCAGTCCAGGACTGATTTGTCTAGACCACATCCAGTGTTCCCACTTTGAAGGCTTTTGCTGTCATACTTTGCCATTGTTCTTATATATTTGCACTGGTTGCTGTATGTTTGAGTCCCAAATACATCCTTCTACGCAGAACAGCCAGCTGCCACCACTATAAAACTATTACATCACATGACTAAAATATGCAAAATTACACAGAATGGGTATTATGTGTCTGATCATTAGAAAAAAAATGTTGTTACATCTCAGCAAGTTAACCCAAGGTTTCCAGTCAGGCTGAGCCAAGTTTAGCCAAGGAGAACCAGACAACTAGTCAAACGTCAGATTAAAGAGGCATCGCTTACAAAAAAAGATTATCAAAATAACATTGTTTTCTTCAGGTAGCTGTAGATCCTCTGTAGGGGCTTTCTTGTGAGGCACCACCAAATATAAACAGGAGAAAGTTGTGTATACTTACGCTATGGATGCTATGTCAATCTTAAAAAGTGATGTGATCCAAAATGAGTGGCAGTGTCAAACTGCGTTGGCGCTGGACATTTCCAGGGCAGAGATGGCTCTGGCCTTGCTCCAGTCTGTCCTCAGGCAGTGACTGCTGATAGCAGCTGGAATTTGTTACTTGCACTCCTGAAGAACAGCTTGTGATTTAGGGTCTTCTAGTAGAAATCCCTTTCATAAAACATGGAGTTCTATGATGTGAACCAAGGTGCAGCAAGAGGGGATGATCCTTATCTGAATTAAAATTGAATTGAATGCGGGTAGCATGCAAATGCCAGCCAGTGCTAGCATAGGCATGCCTTGTATGAGTTCAAAACTGTGGCGTTCGAGCTCTTAAGTGGCATTTTTTACTTACTGGAGCACCTTCAAGTAGCAAAGAAAGAAAGTAAGAAATTAGCGCTGGAACCAGGGAACTAGACAAAACAAGTGAAATGTGAGAGGAATGTGAGATTTCATGATAAATGCACTTAGCCAGCTAGTGAGAGATTTCTGCAAGGGCCATGATGAGATATTAAATGTAGCTGCAAGAGACCAGGGTCATCTACACTTAGATCAAGCTGAAAAATGTAAAAGCACTCTCCACAAACCTGGAAAAGCATACACTCATCATTCAATGGGAGGAAAAAAATAGAAAGTAACAATGTTGAAAGACAAGTATACTTCAAACTGAATCTCATTGTGTTAGATCCAGTCCTTATTTGTAATGTCTTGATTTCTTTTTTGACAGTTGGGGCAAGGAACACTAGGCTATGTAAAATGCCAGCTAGCATCTTGAATTACAAAAGGCAGGGAGAAAAACAAGATCTGATTCTGTGGTGAAACCGTCCGCTCAGAAAATGCTTTTCAATGCGAAAGTCTGCATGCTATTAACTGTAACCGTAAACCTGAGCTAATATAATGTTGTGTTTATTCCCACTGAGTGGGTTCCTGTGAGTCTGATCTTTTGCATCTCCTTAATCCCTGCACATGCTACTTTATGCATTTTCCTTTCTAACACTCTAGCTTTACTACCTGCTGTCTGTATGCCACATGCAATTTTGGTAAGCATGCAGGATTAGCTTTTTAGCAGTAGCTAGCACTGGCTGGCATTTGCATGCTACCCACATTCAATTCAATTACTGACTGTGCACAGGGCAGTAATAGCAGTTTCAGGAAGCTAAGGTTAATGAGTAATTTGAGTTTTATGTTTTCCTGGGTCATAAGATACTGATGGATAAAATGTATTTGTATAGGAGATATTTAAATTGTGGCAATTGTGCTAGACTGTGCTAGCAGCTCGTAAAGAAAGTTTGGGTGTCTACTGAAATTGAAAATGTCTTTGATAATGAAACCCAAAGGAGAATGGAAAAGATCTATTCTGTCCACTTCCACTTCTCTTTTCCCACCAAATGGACACAGCTTACAGTTTGGTCAGTGAGAAAAAGAGAACTTCAGTTTCTCTGCAATAAGACCAACTTTTGCTATGCATTGCAGGGCTCTAAGTAAGCATCATAAGTAAATATTAGTGTTAGAGAGACAAAAACAAAAAAGCAAAAAACAAAGAGAGGTTTGTCTGATGTAGGGGTCTAAATGAAAATTAGACATTTGCCTCCAGGTGCCTGCCCATCTCTGGATAGGTCAGAAAGCAGTCCCTGCAGTACATTAGTTATCAGCTTGATCAACAGGCATCAGGCTTGAAAATTGAATCAGTCATCTAGTTCTAATCAGCTACCATCTAGAAACTGAATTCCCATCAAATCAGTATGGACCTTTTTTGTATGCTTCAGTTTTTTGAAAAACTTTAGGAAGTCAGTGGTTTCAGAGAAAGTCTAACTTGTCCCAGCTCTGCCATGAGAGGAGGGGGTTATGCTGCAGTAATGGCTTTCTGGAAGTGGTGTGTCTTTTAAGGTCCTCATCTTCCTATTATAGCAAAATATGAGAGTAATTAAAACTAATAAGAGGAAGGATGCAAATATAAGTAGGTATGTGGGACAGTCAAAACCTCAAATCTCAAATGTTGCACACCAGGCAGTAATTCAGCTGAGGGTTAGATCTACCCTGTGTCACTTGCTTTCCATCTCTCTTTACATCTCCTCCGTCCCCTGTGAGGGGCTTCAGTGAAGATAGACCTCAGGGAGCTGGACCTGTTTCCTTCCTCCTCTGGCACACTGCAAGTGTAGCACATCTGGTCAACCTAATCTTTGATCTCCCTTAAAAGCTCTTCATTAGAAAGTATGTCTCAGCCATGGCTAGCACCTTGACCTCTCCCCTGAGTGCACGAGCCATTGTGTCCCCTTCTTGCTCATTTAACCCTGTACAAGGCTGTGTTAAGGAGGACTTGGAAGCTCAGTAACCACTTATCTGGGCTTTAACTGCTCGGTGTGCTTGGCCACTCTTACTTTGGGGAAGAGATTTAGAGGAGCATTTGAGGAGAAAACAGAGAATGGATAATGGATGGGAGTATGTCACAAGTAGATTGAATTTAGATGAGAGTGTGAAAGGGGAGAATTTAGATGGGAGAGCAAAGGAAGAAGACATGACACTAATCAAACAAATATTAATGGGGTACAAGGAGAAGTAATTGTGCTCCTTAGTATTAAACCTGTATTGTCAGCCTGTCAGAATTAGTGGGGGAGATGCCTACCTTGTCAACACTAGCTGAGCCTAGCTCCTGGTGTGCCCAAATGAACCATCAAACAGCCTCTTGCTGGTCAAAAGGGAGGCATCTAAACGCTGCACAAGCTGCACACCAGTGCTCCTCTGGCAACCCCAGTGAGCAAGCAGGGCTCAGATGCTTGGGTCGGGATCCAAGGAGCTGTCACATGAAAGTCTCATGCACATCTCCCACTACTGCAGTGGGAGCAGAAGAATTAGAGGGGGTGGGATGGAAGCAAGGAAGGCAGGAAGGAAGAAAGGGTAGCATATGAGTGAAAGCATCTTTCAACTAAAGACCACCTGTATGTACTTTGGTTGTTTCTGAAATATATATGTAGGGCTACTTTTGTGGTGGCGCAGAAAACTAGCCCTCAGCTCTTGTTGAAACTATGTTAATTACACTAGTAAAACCTCTTTTCCTAGTATTGCAATATTTGACATGACATTCCATGTGATGAGCAAGGCAGTAGAACCAAAAGGGAGATGCATTAATGTGGGTAAGTGTTTTCTACATTGGTGTCCTGGTTTCAGCTGGGATAAAGTTAATTTTCTTTCTAGTAGTTGGTACAGTGCTGTGTTTTGAATTTAGTATGAAAGTAACATGGATAACACACTGATATTTTCAATTATTGCTGAGCAACTTGGAGTAAGTCAAGGACTTTTCAGCTTCTCGTGGCCTGCCAGTGAGAAGGCTGGAGAGGCACAAGAAGTTGGGAGGAGACACATCCAGGACTGCTGACCCCAGCTGACCCAAGGGATGTCCCATGCCATATGGCATCATGCTCAGTATATAAACTGGGAGGGGAAGCTGGCTGCTCAGGAGCTGGCTTGGGTACCTGTCAGTTGGTGGTGAGCTATTGCATTGTGCAACACTTGATTTGTATATTCTGATTCTTTTATCATTACTATTATTTACTTCCTTTTCTGTTCCATTAAACTATCTTTATCAGAACCCATGGGTTTGAATCTTCCTAATCTCTCCTCTGTCCCACTGGCAGGGGGACAGTGACTGAGTGGCTGTGTGGTGCTTAGTTGCCAGCTGGGGTTAAACCACGACAATTGGATGAACCTACTTAAAGGCCATTACATTATACTTTCTTGTTCTCCCCTGTGGATGGCCGAGCACCTAAGCATATGTCAAGTTGTTTGAAAATGTTGCTGGCATTCAGAAGAGTGGTGTCCTTGACCACTCACCTCTGGTAGAGCTGTAATTAGGCAATTCCTCAAGTTCTGGATTGGATTCGTGACAGCATTTTCTCCCATCTATTTATAGTTTATGCTGATGCAACATAACAAAGGTACATATTGGCATTTCTTTGCCTTAATACCCCTTTTTTTTTTTTAATTTTCCCAAATATTACCTATATTTCACAGTCCTTCTGGTCAGATGAGTGTGATTTCTCATAATGACTAGTAGTTATTTTCTAATAATCCTAGTATTTCCATAACCAAGATGGATGTTTCTAAGGGAATGACTACATGTGTGCTTGCAGCTGTGTTCAAAACATAGTACAGCCAAAGACTGTCATGAGTGTAAGTTACACACCCAAAATTCAGTTCCAAAAACTGTTGGGGCTGCATTTTAAGACCTCATTTTAGTTCCTAGGCCTCTTCATGCAAATAAAAATTCTTGATTTTGCAGGATTAGTCAATGGCAAAACCCAGCGGGAAGATGATTTTTTCTCCCACTGAAACTGTGGGTGGAGGTCTGCGTTTGCATCCTTACTCTGTAACTATTCTCTGTTCCTGGCCAAAGCAGAAATGGTTAGGATTGTGACCCTGAGCCTACTTAAATAATCGCTTAATAAATGTTCTGGTTTTCTCATTATAGATATGAATTTCAGATCTGAGATTCAGGTGTCTCCATAGCTCTTTCCTAGGCTCTACATGATTATATTAGCTCGTGGCTCTAGTCCTGAAAGAGTGTAATTTCATCCTCACATTTCCAAAGATTGATTTCATTAACAATAAGGGGTCACATCACATTGCTAAAAAAAAAATAGTAACATACATCTGAATTTCCCACCCATGTGAGCAGTGGAAAAATGAACAGGAGTGGGAAGGAGTCATCACATCATATACTTAACTCATCTAAATCTGGATGCTTAAATTAGGTTCCTCCACCAAATGGAATCAGGACGAGTCATCTCTTTCACTGTTAGGAAAGCCAAGAGAAATTAGGTTCCTAATTTATTTATCAAAATATTTGATTGTATTTGATTATGTATCAAATACCTTAAAAAGGTGCTCTGAATATCTCGTCTTCTCCCCAGCCTCTCAACTTCTTAAGCTATTAACTTACTGAGCCTGATGAACTTTCAGAAGTACACCAGAACAACTTCTCTTGAGCTCTAGACCCACGGGACACAACAAAGAAACTTGAAGAAAGTCGAGATGGAAAAATTTTCAGAAAAAAAATTCCAGCGCTAAAGAGGAGGAGCAGCAGATATGCATCACAGCCACAACAGTAGCTACTGCTCTCAGCCCACATGAACTGTGAGAGCCTAATGAGCAAAAGTGGCCATTCACTTCATAAATATTTGGGCCAAAGGACTGAAGAAGGTCGTGTTTTGAAGAACTGACTACAGACAATTGATCATGACGGGGGTAACAAGGTATTTCTAGGAGGCAAAAGTGTGACTCCAGCAGAGCAAGGTTGGCAGGAGCTGTCATGGGAAGGGCCACTAAGCCTACGGTCCTCACAAGCGGATGCCCAGCATGCCTCGTGGGGCCGTAAGGGCTCCACTGCTGTGACAGCCATTGGCTTCAGCGGCCTAATTGTTGCAGGAACCTTTAATCTGAATCTAGCTGGATGAAAGCTGCTACACAAATAACTAGCAAACTTTGATAACAGTGTAGTTATCTTCAAAAATAGATCATCTTGGGAACCAAGGTCAAGATGTTATTGTAAGAATTGGAGCCTTTCCTAAAAGTGCTGAGGAAAACAAGAACACAAACTGAAAAACCTATTGATTCTTCCATTTTACTACTGATGACTGGCTGCATCAAACTGATCTGCTGGGAGCCATCACAGATAAATCCACAGTAAAGGAAACACTCTGTGGACCGGCAGCAGATACAACAGAAACCTTCCCAGAGGAGAAGAGAGAAGAGGTAAGGAATGTAGAACTGCCCTTGTCACTTCTCCTTTGGCAAATGACTAGCTCTCAAAAACCCTAATTAAGTTTCCATCTTTAAAATGTGATTTCCATTTGCTCCCTACGGTTTAAAAATAGTGAAAAGATTTCAGCAATTGATGACACTCTCAGTTGTACTAAATTAGAGTGTAGAGGAATTAGAAATTGCTACTGTTGGTGTCACGTAGTAATGGTCTCTCCTTTCTTCTTGCCCTTGCACCAGGTTGCTCTTCCCCACCACCACATTCCTGGGCAGCAGCCACATACTGGAGTGGCAAATCACCCGCCACTGGTGCTCAGTGGTCAGAGTAAGTTTCCTATCACTTTTGGATTCATGTAGTCTTTGAAGCCCTTCACTCAGGTTAACCCACAGGTCTGTACCTCCAATCTTTCCTCACATACACAGTCTTGTGAAAGAGGGAACAATTTTGCCTTTATGAGTGTTTTTGACCACAGCTTAACTTAACTGACTGCAGTGGAAATTCTCTAGATTTGCACCGCTGTGAACTAAACCAGGCTTGGGGGATCTGTGTGTGTGGGTTATAGACTCCTTAATTGCCTGTGGGCAGCATTGTCCTCTGACTCAGAAATATCTTTGCCTTGGGAAAAAATAATATACCCCCCCCAAAATTCTTATCTGTCTCTGCTGACAGACACAATCTCTTTAATGTTGCCCTGCATTTGTCTTAACACAATTTATTGGACAAACGGCAAAAAAGGCTGTTAGTCATTTCCACTGAAATTTGTGAGTGATAAACACATCTGTTATACTCCTGTACAGTAACTGGGCACATTTTTGATTAAATAGTCCCCTAATTCAAAAGCATCTCACCTGCTCTCAATATGACAGCAATAAAAACGTAGCTATGTGCTTTGTTTCTGGCATAGTTTCAGCTCTTCCACATTACTTAAATCGTGAGCATATATTCCAGTTAGCTTAGGCTTCAGGCTTTAAAAGCTCAAAGTGAGTAATGAAGGGAAAGCAATCTGATTAGCTGGTGGAGCTGACTAAAAGGCACCTTCATTACGAAGGAGCTTAAAAAAGGAATAAAACTATATAAAATGGATTAAAGGTATAATAATAACGATAGTATCAAACAGCATAACAACTGAAATTAATATTTAATAGATGGTACAGGCATGTTCATGGCTTTATATTCTTCTGTTTTAATGATCTTAACCACAGCTTGAGGTCCTTTGTCTTGTCTCCTTCTACTGACATCAGCTGGAAGAGACAGAGATGAAAACAAGGGTAATTTCCCCATGGTCATTGCTTGGCACTATTTCTGCTTTGCTCAGCCATGAACTGAAGTTTAAAGGATGAAGTGCTGTCAGTCAGACTGATTCTTCCCTCTAACCTGTCTTACCTGGGTTAACCACTCAGCCAGTCACCAAGGAAACGCGTAGCTCCTTTGCCCATCTTACAGCCACCCCACAGCCTCATGTTGAGAACATCACCATAATCTCATTAGGACATTGAATTTGCCATTGAAGCTTGAATTCCCCTAACAGGAGGGGAGTGGACTAATGCAATTAAACAAATTAGCGTTTTGAGCCACTGCATGGTATCTGTCCAATGCCATGAGCAAAGAGTAGCTAGTTTTCTTCCTTTCTTAAAAAAAAAAACACAAACAAACAAACAACAAAACCAAGACTCCAGTCCTCTCTCCACGTTATGTTCAGGGAAATAGTGCAGTCCCCTGTCATCTGTAAACAAATGGGAAGGTAATTACTCACTTGACCAAAAACTTGAATTGTTTCCCTTTATTTTCCCAAGTGCTCCCATCCCAGTGGTTCTGATTATTTTTATCAGTGTAATGTTTATGCTTCTAAAGGTAAAGTGGATAAACCCAGAACATTTTGTTCTTCTCTTATGGTATGTAACAGTGGTTGCCAGATAAGAACAAAACTCCTGTTGATTTCAAATCTATTCTGATATGAAGTGCTTCTTAAGTGCTATGAATAACTATTTTAAAATACACCAGATTTTCAGGAGATAATTCCGGCATATTCAGTAATTCTCTAGAAAGGCAGATTATTAAATGCCTAAGGCAGCGCTTTTCTGCCTTTTGTTGTGGGGTTTTGAGGCTAATCCAGTTCCCTCCTCCCTCCCTCACTCTGCCAAATAAACAAAGCAGCAAGAGCGAACTGTAGCGAGAATCAGGAACCATGAATCTTTGAATAATATTCTGGCATGTGAGTTTCCAAAGGCAACATATTTCTCTGGGAGTACTGGGGTGAGAGAGAGGGAGAGAGGGAAGGAAGGGAGCAGTGGTACCCTCCTGAGGATAATGCTGCCGTCTCCATTACAGCATTTCTTCCTGGGGAGGTAGAAGATGGAATGACACGGGTAGGATCTAGAAGCCTCTTATGCATTTTGATTACCAAAGAGCTTATGCCGCTGGCTGCTTGCTGCCTTCATCTTTGAATGGGAAAGGCAGGAATAACAAGTGTATTTTAGTAGATGTTATTGTGCTACCACTCATCTGCTCACAAACAAATCGCAGTCTGCCACCAGGCACTGGAATCAGAAGGAGTGAGAACATGGGTTATTACTAAATAAGGGCATTGGTTATACACTCAACTTTATGTAATACATGGATCCTACCATAAGCTGCTTACAAAATAGATATATATTATGTAGGCAGTATGCATAGTCCCAAAGGATAGCGTAATCTTAGCAGTTTTCCCTGAAAATGCAAGGGACTTCAAGACTGAGTCAGTACTGAGAATATCTGTCACAAACTTGAAAATAGAATGTAGTATAGATAATGCTGCAGTTATTTGAAAAGCGTCACGAAGCTCAGCATTTCAGTAGTCACAAACTCCCAAAATGTCAGAGCTGAGCTGGTACTGAAGAGAAGCTGAAATGTGCTGAAACAGAAAATGCAGTACTGAGGCTTACAAACAAAATGAGCTCTGCACTGTGATAGCAATAGCCATACAGTTTGGATTAAAGTATTTTGATATTTATGGTATCAGATCAGATGAGGACAAATTAAAAAAAAAAAAGAATTATGTTTTTAAATACCTTTTTAGCTCCTGATACCATTACAGGATAGAACCAGGGGTTGAATTATTTTCCTATGTAAGTTCTTGCGTAACATCACTGTAAAGTGGTCCTGGTTTGCCTATTTATTTTTTTCCTTTTATCGTGTTTGGATTTAAATGTAGCCCTAATCCTGCATATCCTCTTTGAAAAGCTTAGATCCATAATGTATTGTGTAGTATTCTTTAAAACACTTTGCTCTATAGTGTGGGGTAGCCTTCAGTTAACAATATAGATTTCAATTCTTAACCTTACATTTGATAGTTTTTATTGCATTATATTCTTCATTTAATACAATGTAAAATTTCAAATATGCATACTAATTGAGACAAATGATACCCAGCAAAAATATTAGCATTATTTAATATCCCATATCAGATAAAACATGCAGTAGCAACACATATTTATGGGCAAATTCACCAAGATACCAAAGAACAAAAAGTAAAGCATATCATCTGGGAATACTGAGTTTACAGCTTATATTTTCCTATGAATTTTCCCCAATAGTTTATGTTTTCCTCTGTTCAGAGGAACATTACCAAGCCTTTGAGACAAAGACTGAGAATCTGACCTCTAACTTTGGGGCTGATCCCTGAGGTTGCAGGACTGTTGTGATGGTACAAATATTATATGAAATGAGGGAATTCCTAGTCTATTCCTAATTTTGCATCAAACTAGTCAGTACATATTCTTGAAAATTCTTCAAGGGCAAACACCATTAATGTGCCATTTTTGAAAAAAAAAAAAAAATAAAAAAGAGATTGAAGCCATATTTTTGTATCCATCATGAAAAGTAACTTGATTTGAAGGGCTGTGAATGTGAATGGGTGTTACTTGCTCTTAAGGAGGTAAGGTAGGAAAACACTGCCAAATACCCATGATTAGGTTTTCCTGGTCACCTTGTTTCGTCCCACAGTGAGGTAATGAGTTCACTGAGCACCTGTTACCTTTTCCCCCCTCCTTCCCTGTTCTCTTTTTGATGGTATATTTCCCTGCAACGAGATTTTCCGTCACATGAGGTTTCAATAGGTAGTTTACCCAGCTCACCTCTACTACAGATCAGGCATAAAATATATACCAAAATGCAGCTTTGCATCTGCATCTCTGCCTTGACCTACTGCCAGACTTAAATAAAATGGTTTCAAACTCTGTGGGCCTACAGCATCTTTCTTACCCTGATTATATTTTATGCTTGGAAAGAAGCAGGAAGCATGGGTAGCTCCACAAAGCTGGGAGGATAAGACCTTAAAAATTATGCTGCAGGCAAGAAGGATTTGAAGAGAGGGCTAATGTGGCCCAAAGGACAAAGGAGATTTTAATACTTAAAATGAGCAGGAGTTGGAGAGGAGGGGAGGGGAGGGGAGGGAAGAGGAGAGGAGGGAAGGGTAGAGGGAAACAAATGCAGGGACATGCTTAAGGGAAAGCATCGTAAAAGAGAATCTAAATGCTGAAAATGAACCTGCCTTTTTATCCTCTTTTTGTATTTCATGCAGTCACATGAGCACAATAGCTGTTCATCTAGACCACAGGATTCATTAATAACTTTTTCATCTTTTGTGGAGTCTGTTAAAATAGTACATGGCTTTGCCTCCTGAGATAGCGAACTCTTGTCTTGAATGGAAAAAGGATGGTGTACAGAGTCCAAAATTAAAGGAACTAAAGAGAGCTTACAAACTGTGATAAACTTAAAAATAATTAGCAACAAGTACCAATTTGATACTTGGACCTTTCTTGGTCTTCAGCGGAGAACAGGAGTGTTACAAAAATAGATAAACATCTCTGAAATGTGGCAACCAAGATTTTTAGTACAAAAGTCCAAAAGAAATGAGGAGGCAACCTGTTGGGTGGCATGCAAAGACACTGCCACATCTGAATCCATTGCTCTTAACGGACAGCAAAAAGTATGAGTCTGGTGATAAGTGATGTCTGTCATCCTGTAGTGCTTTATACTATTGTTCACTGTTCCCTTTATTGCTAAAGGGAAGTGTCCCAATTTTAATATCAGTGCTATGCCTGAATAAATCCCACATGCCTGTTTCTTGGGAAAAATAACATTGATTCATGTAGAGAAGGTGACTAACAGCAAAGCAGAATACGGGGGGGGAAAAATAAAAATAATGGATCCTTAGTGTTCCTCCCTTTGCAGCAAAGGCTCTAGTTATGATGCAAATGATACAAAATTAATGTATCCATGAATTAAAAATGAGAGGTGGCATAAATGTAAACTCACTGTTGTTGAAACGGAACTGCACTGCCGTGTTTCTCATGAATTGCCACATTATGCTAGCACTCCTCAGAGCAAAGCTGCTCACCCTTAGAGGGGTGAATGGCTTCTGCACCACTGAACACAGAAAGCAGAGGGACATGCTAGTATGACAGAGGTCTGTGATATGTGGGGTGGATTTGTTAGTGGCACTTCCAGCAGGTGTTGTACACAGCCACAGTGTCTCACGGAGCCTCTGCCAGCCCCTTCCTCCTCCCTGCCCTCCATCACCTGGCTATTCTTCATCCACTTGGAAAGGGTGTGTCTCTTCATCATTTTGCAAGCATATGCAAAACTCAAATATGCTGAATACATTTTTGAAATAATTATTTGCTCATCTCTAGTCCCCAGTGTTGCATGGGTCTAAATTTAATTTACCACAAGGTTGTCTATTACATAATTTCGTTAAGGTTTTCCTAGAGTCTGTCATAGTTTTGAGCCACCAGAATGGTATTTTACTGTGAGCAGCTTTGGTGAATGAGGATGTTCACTTTATCTTCTAAATTGCAAGTAAACAGGTTGAAATTGCCAATTGTATTGTGATATTCCTTGACAAGTTCAACAATTAACAGTTTTCCATTTTTGCCAGTTATCCCTATATACTTGCCACCTTGCCATAAATTTTTGGCTCATGACAAGATGAATTGTCGAGAACCTCCAAAGTCAGATTTTATCAAAACTCTTCAGAAAATTTGAAATAAATTGTTTATTGTGCATTTCATAAGCTCTTGGTATTTGGAAGGAAGTTAGTTGTTCTATGGAAGTCTCAATGGCTTCATTTTATTATTTCAAATTAATGTCTATGCTACATCCAATGCTGAATCATCTTCTGTACTCAGAGTGGTAGCTGGTTTGTGATTTCACTTGTGTGCTGACACCCCCTCTTGGAAGTGGAAATCTTCCTACTCTTTTTTTCCCAAGCAGTCACAAGCTGTGCCACCATAGTTAATGGATTTAACCTTCTGCAGGGAAATAAGCAGCAGAGCCAGCACATGCAGGACTCCAGCTCACACTCCAGCCTGCTCTCCCAGACCATTCATATGGCCCAGCTAGATAGAGATAAGCAAACCACCCAGCTCACCAGTCCCTTCTTGGGGATGGAGGACAAAAACCCTTGCAAGGCAGCCAAGCCCATGGCAGCTCAGATAGGAGAAAGGGTGGAAAACTGAACCCCAGCTCTGTCTTCTCCCAGCTCAGGGCTGAGGGGCTATGGTCAGGGTGAGAACCTCTGCCAGCAAATGTGAAGGACATTGCCTGCATCCTGCTGTGAAGGGGGCTGGTTTGTACTCCTGCCGCAACAATAACACTCCTGGAACACCTACTCCATGGCATCCCTGCAAAAGTGCCTGTTCTTACCAAGGATTAGGATAAACTAATTTAGGAAGTCGCAGTGCCAGTGTAAGAAAGACAGCAGTGTGAAGTTGTAATCACTCCCAGATCAAGATACATATACAATAAACTGAGGGTTTGGTTTATCTTGTCTTTAATGTAAAAAGATCTTTGTGTGAATATTGGACTAATTATTGCACAGGTAAGGCATATACATTTAACATCACAAGCCTAGTCAATGCTAGCACTGTGCTGTCCTCTCACAATTTTAAATAAAGACTATTAGAGCTTTAATTCCACTGCCAGGCAAGAAATTGACAAAGAGGTATTTCATCCTTCAGAAGCTGGAGAACAGACTCCAAGCTCTCTTACAAGTTAAGATCACTAGAAAACTTTTCTTCCTCCTTATTTTGCCTGCCTTGGCAAGACACTTCAACACAATTCTGAGCTCGACTCTGCAACCTGAAATGCACTAAATCAATTAGTTATCATATGGTATCTTATTCTTTCTAAAACACCAGCATTTCTGGTAATAAATGTAATGAATATAAAGAACTACTTCAATCTAGCTTCAAAAAAGAAAAGTGCCCAAGTGTTGTAAAGATACAATAGATGTCAAATTTTTGAGCCTTTTTTGAAATTCTACTAATTCAGTGCTAAGGACACTTCTTGCGTATGCTACAGGTGTCCGCTGATCCGAAAATATTTTTCAGTGAATACTAATTCCCTGTTTTAGTGAAAATCTTTATTGTTGAATCTCTTATTACAGGTGCAGGGCAACAACACTATCCGTTCTGCTTCTGATGAGAAACAAACTGTAATACACTACAAGATAAGAAAGTAAGCAAAGCTTTCTCTTCAACTTCTGAATAGGAAGTGCTAGCATATTTATTTAAATTCAAAAATTAAAGTTGATGCCTTATTTACTGAAAGAGCATAGAACCCCGAACATACCACTAGTAGTGTTTTTGATGACTTAGGTTGTGCTGAGATTGTAGGTCTTTCCCTACAATCAGTGGTCTGTTTTCCAAACATCCCTCTGATGTATGAAAATCAATCTTACTTGCTTATACATGTCTTTATGTCAGGATAAGTCATTCCTGCTCATTGATTCTTCTTCTTCTGGGCCTTTATTTTTTGGTACTTAAGCACTGATGAGTGAGAGTTTGCATGTTCCTTAAAAATCATTGATTTTTCAACTTTTTGTGGAGCCTTCTTGGATGAGTCTAAACTGCAGGAAGTAACTATGCGCTTGCCTCGAAGGTGCTGCATAATCAAGAGCTTGATTGTCATATGGGGATGCAATGATGTGCCCCCAAATTCAGATGGGAGAGTTGGAGAGGAAATTCCATGTGGAAACATAGGAATTGTGAAGCAGACTTCAATAATCAGCTTTCCTGAGCCCTAATAGAACAGCAGATGCATTGAGGACAAAGCAACTCCTAAACCATCACAGTCAGAGTATTTGTAAGAAGCAATTGTTCGAGATTTTTCAGAGGCAAGAAGAAAACTAGGGAGCAGCTGTCTCAAAAACCAGACTTAAATCAAAAACAGCTTTGAAGGGAACTGGCACTTAAGTCAGAGGTCCTAAAGGTTTAGGATCAATTGGAGGTAGATTAATTGAAATGACTATAAAGAGATAAAATAAAGAATACGGCATGTCTGCTCATGGCATCTTAGAAGGAATTGAAGTGGGAATGAAAAAAATTTGGGATTTAGTTTCTGCTGGGAACAGCCTGCTTAGTCACGGTCAGAAAAGAAATAGTTGAAGAGGTGCTAAGGGTAGGAGGAAATAATACAGTGGGAATGGAACACTGTGGAAAAATACTGACTCTAATTGCTAAATTTGGCACAGATATATCTAGGAAGTTAATCCTACTGAATGTTTGCTATATTGGGATATTGGTTAGTTATCAGAGCTATGTGTGTGTGCAGAATATGATATTTTCTGCAGCTTTCTTCAGCCAACTGTACTATTAGAAATAGATAATTTATAATATTCCAACTGATGTTTTGCTCAGTGTAAGGTGACACTTCCCTTGCAGAATATCCAAACTAATCACACTGCCAACAAACAGTCATTTTATTAGTCTGTCTTTTCAGCTTTTAAGATGTTTCATAATTCCGTGAAGTATTTCTGGTGTTGATATTTTATCAAACTATATTTTACAGACAATATATCCAGTAAT